CTCAAACCCACCAGCCTCTCTCCAGGAGAAAGATGAAGCGGTCTTCTTCAGTAAAGCTTTAAGGCCTTGGAAACCCTATGGGCAGTTCTACTCAGTCCCATAGGGTCTGTATGAGTCAGAATCAACTAGATAGCAATGGGAGGTGCTGTTTTTAAATAAACCGTGCCACAATCCTAGCCCCTATACCTGTGGATGTCATCTTGTTTGTAAATAGGGGTGTCTTTGTTATGTTAACAAGGCCCTATCAGTGTAGTGTGGGTCCTGAAGCTAACCACTTCTGAGTGACGTAAAGAGCAGATCACACAAACACCATGTAAAAATGTCTCCAAGTCAAGGAGCCAAGGCAGGCCCAGGGCTACTGACAAGGAAGGCATAGACTTGGACTTGGACTTTTAGTCTCCCTGTGAGAAAACAAATTTCCGTTCTTTAAAATCACCTACTTGTTCACCTTGCCTAGAATGCTCCTGCTCCCCACTTCCTTGGCCTGCTAACCCTTTACTTAACTTACTCTTGGAGTCTAATAAAAATCACTTCTTCAGGGAACTCTTCCCTCCCACCACCATGGTCCAGTACGCTCTCATAGCCTCCACCCTCTTTCCATCACAGCATTTACATTTGGTATCATTTGTTGAATATGTAAGATACGTGTTCTCCTACTAGACGGCAATTGGTATTTCTTACACAAATGGCTCCAACAGCCCCATGAGATCTATCAGGATCTCCTGTAGACTCTACTCCCGAGAGCAGGGACTGTGCTTTAGTTGTTTGCTGCGATGTCCACTGTGTGTGGCACGAAACTAGGCACTCAAATATTTGTTGAAGGAATTCACTTTACAGCTAAGGGAAAGGCTCAGAGAAATCAAGTAACTGGCCTGCATTATGCAATAAGCAAGTAGCAGAGCCTGGATTTGAATCCGGTCTCTGAAATTCCAAAGCCTAAAGCTTTTTCTGCTATACCAAACTATGTGGACACAAAGCCACTGCTTTGAAAGTTCAAACCCTTGGTGAAAATGCTGGAATGCAGTGTGAAGCGATGCTCCTAGCCAGGTTGCCTTGTCAACAGGCTTGATGAAACACAGGAGAACCTCCCAACCATGGGAGCACATGTCTAGCAGCCAGTAGTGCAGCACACAGAGAGGCAGAGCTGGGATGTCACACTGTACCCTGACCTGATGCCAAGCTGGTGGGGGGCAGTAGCAAGAAGTCTGCAATTCCCTTCATCAGCCTTCTAGTTATACGCCAGATCAGCATGCAGCCTGCCTTTGAAGCCAGGAGGGTAGCAAAGAACCTGGACTTTGGAGTCAGACCACGTTTGAATTCTGCCTCTGTCACTTACAAGCAGTATAACAACTTTTCTACACCCTTTTCCTCATGTGTGAGATTTTAAGAATTTACCCACACAGCATTAAGATTAAATTAAAATGTAGATTTTAAAAGACCTACTGTACACATTGCCTGCCTCTAATATTCATTGTTGACTCAGTTCTGACTCAGTGACCCTTTAGAGCAGAGTAGAACTGCTCTAGGGAGTTTCCAAGGCCACATCTTTCTCCTGTCTGTACCTAATCATTCACGGCCATCGAGTTGATTTGGACTCATAGTGACCCCCATTGGGTTTCCAAGGCTGTAAATGTTTACGGAAGCAAACTGCCCCATCTTCCTTCTGTGGAGCGACTGGTGGGTTCGAACCACCAACCTCCAGGTTAGCAGCCAAATGCCTTAACCACTATATCACCATGGGTCCTTCCTTAGGTGCTCAAAAAATGGTAAGGCTTGACGGCACATAACAATAACAACTCTTGTTAGCAATTCCAGTGCCCAAGCCTCAGCCTGCATCATCTGCACGGACCTGATTAAGTCAAAGCATCTATGCTTTCGTCTCCTTGCACTCACACCCTGGCTCAGCTTAACCAATGTACCTGATGGAATCTCACGCAGGGTTTTACTCATGGTCTATCAGAAAACGTGGGAGTGGCAAGGAAAAAGCCTGTTGTCTGCAGATACAGGTTGTCTGTCTCTTTCAGCGGGCCATGAAAAAGGAAGCTGAAGGGCTGGACAAGCTGCCATAGCCCTCCACAGCCCAGACTGCATGGCTGGTGCCACTACCAGACTAGATGAAGTTGCCATCTAGTAAACTAAACTCTGACCTATATACCAAAAACGAGCCATAACTTTAAGTTGGTGGCAAAAACATTTGTGCCACCATGCTCCCCACCAAACTTGGAACTGCCATTCGACCTCACTGGGAACAGAAGTCTAATGTTCATGACGTTATTCATCAGTGAGCTAACAGGCTACAGATCAATGTAACGGGATTGCACTGCTCTGAGTCGTATTTCTTAAATGGTTCAATTGTGGCCATAAGCAAATACACCTACCTTCACACATAAGCTCCAAAAATTTGCCACCCCGTAAGTTATGTTCCATTAGGTTTGTCTGTTTTTCTTTTAAAACATCAGTCTTCCCCCTTTCCCAAGAGATATATATATAGGTAGAAAAAGAAATGAAGTCAGTTCTCTACTTCTCACTAGAATAAACAGTGACTCAAATACATAGTTGCAAGGCTGTATTTTCTTTTAATGACAGATTCTCCTATAAGAAACCACTATAACATCTGTCCAAGTACTCCAAAGGAAAACCAAAAATACATAAGGATTAAGTCTATTACCTTAACAGCACATTGCCAAACATGGACAACTAGGATAAAATGCAAAGGAACCCTACAAAAATAACTTCAAAGATGCAACGTTCAAGTCATTCAAACGTGTAGGCTCCACAAACAACAGACATAACAAGTCTGAGAGCAGTTGTACTGTGCAGGCTGGTAGCTCTGACTGTACTCCATCAAAGTCCATCCCGGTGTCTAAAACCAGCAGGCCCATGAGCAGCGTTGGTGTTTGCGTCTTTGCTTGGAGGTGTGTACACAGACTGGAGGAGAGGACGCTCTTCCAGGTGCTGACGTGAGCACAGCAGGCTTGTTCCCCTTTGATAAAGTACGAAGGCAGGTTTAGTTCACTCACGCTTTAGCAGTTTCCCTAATAAAAAGTCTTACGCATGCTGAACAGACGAGTTACTGAGTGTGCCATGCTACGTATGTACAGCAAGTTTCATAAAGTGAGTTCAGTAACCTGACAGAATAAAAAAGTAGCTGTTAATTTACTGTATAATCTTTTACAACTTGAATGACTCTGGGTAAATGGCGCTGACACTCAGACACACATTAACAAGGAGTTATTTACTACACAACGAGGCACACACTGTCTCAAACGCACACTTCACAGGATTCCTGCATAGCAGGAAAGTCACTACCACTACACAACACAGGGCTACGCTGACAGTCGAAGCTGCCCCTGCAGGCTATGACAGGAGAGAGAATTCCCTTAAAAATCTCAAGGAGCATTCCCACCAGCACAGACACTCTGGGAGGGTCGGTACTGATTCTGTTTGGGAAGATGTTTCTCACTGGAAAATCTGAACCTCGGGAAAATCAGTTTTCTAATTGAGTACAATTTAAGGCAAAATGCTGCTCAAATCTGAGGGGGAGAAACATCCCAAAGTTTTCATTTTTCTTCTGAAACTTGACCAGGTCAGAAGCAACATCAAAAAGGATTCCCTTTTGAAGTGGACTTTACCAATGCACCTTTAGATATTTTCATCACTACAAAGTAAGACCCGCTTTCGTACTCCAAATATGAAATGAGAGGTTTTTCTGTGCTCCTCCTTGAATGCTGTAAATAATAATAACCCCCTCCTCTCTCTCTCACTCACACTCACACACACACACACACACACACACACACGGCAGCTTGGGTATTAATATTAAAAAGTAACACAGGGAGGGAGACAACTACACCCAGTGCAGAGTCGCCGCCAGCTCTGACCATAAATGCCCAGGAGAGGGCGCCCCAAAGTATTTCCATTTCTCTTACAACTGGTGTAGTGGGAACCTAGCATGGATTCATAAATTAACTTGTAGTAACACTACAGACTAACAAGTGACAATTAGACACAGTAAGTTCAAAAATTTTACATTTTGCTCCTGTTTGGCTGCTAAAGAGCAGCGATTTAAAGTGATATAAAAAATTTCTGACCACAAACTCGCTATACAGATAAAGTACATAATCCCAAGTTAAGCAGCATTACGTATCTTCAACTATCTAATATAGACTATTTACACATCTGGGAAGAGGGAGTTCTGCCAGCGCCCAGCTCCTTATTTGCCCCCTGCTCTCCCCCTCTGGCCCCAGCTCCTCCAAGTGGACAGCACGTGCTCTGAACTATATACACCTGTCCTTGGCTAAGCCAGCTGCCTGCAACTCCTGCGGTCTTGCTCTGGGGGAAAAAAGAACGACTTGGAGGTCACTTGCAGTCTCCTTTTCTCAACAGCAGTATCTGGTCATCACCGGATCTGTCTTTTCACAGCAAGGGGAAGAGGACTCTCATACTTTCCTCCCCAGTGATCTGAAGGCCATGGGCATTGCACTTCCCCAGCTCTGGTACCACAATGGGCCACTGAAGAGAAGGGAAGGCGAACGGTCCCGACACGGGCACCAAGCACAGTCCCCCGCAAAAGAACCTCGCCTGCCCTGGCTCCCTAGGCCACAGGCCCTTCCCTCTCCCTCCTCCCACACAAAAGATGAATTCACATCACAAGAAATCGGTGCTCCAGTTAAGTGTCAGGTAAATAGAAGAAAGAGGAAATCGTCACTTTTGATACTTAGAACTGAGACATAAAGCTAACAGAACACACAACATCACTGTGAAAAGAACTTTCTAAAATGATTCTATTCTACATAGTGCAGCCAATGAGACAAAACAGAAAAGGAACAGTTTGCTCACAACCTGCCTTGCACAGGACTTTCCTATCCTCTCTGTGCCACACAACAGTCTTTATACAGCTTAGACATTCAGAGACATGCACTGGGACTTTGTAGGTAGTACAAATTTCTTCACGATCACATGTGCAAATTTTACAAATCATTAAGTGAGGACTGATAAGCTTAGGCTGGACCGTGTCTCGTATTATCTAACAAATTTAGCGGGGGTTCAGAATCATCCATAGGAAGAACCAGGCGTGTGCCCCGGATGACCAGTTCGTGGTCCCCGAATGCAAGCTCCCGATCCAAGGCATCTTCAGAACTGTTTCCCATCAATCTCCTAGGAGCGCTGGATGTTGCCGACTCTGTGTTCACAGTAGAATCCCCGTAGGTCAAGCTAATATCACCATCATTGAGAATAAGATCCGAGTCGTCATCTTTCAATTGTTCCTGGTTCTAAATGCAAATGAAATTTAAGTTTTGAGAACTGTGAAGAAATTTAGGAGACACTTCTAATGGGACAATTTAAAAAGATTTCCTCTCACAAACCCTTCAGTGATATCTCACTGGCCCAGGATAAAGTCTGGAGTCCTCACCTTGGCTTAGAAGAAGACACTGACTCGGCCTCTTCAGCTTTATCTCCTGCCGCCATCTGGCCCCTCTGCCCTCGCACCCCTAGGTCGGATGAACTGCTGACAGCTACTCAACTTTCTCCTTCACCTCCAGGCTGGTCTGTATGCTGTCCCCTCTGCCCTCCTTCACAGGACTAAAGCCTACTTGCCATTAAGGTCACTGTTTCTGGGAAGTGTTCTCTGATCTGAGATGAGGTGCGGTGTCTCCCCTGTGCACTCTCCTGGCACCCTGCACACAGCCCTATAGGCTCCAAGAGTAGAATCGAGCCCTACATCACAACCGTTGCATGTTGATCTGTCCCCTGACCCCCTCCACTAGACTCTAAGCCCCCTGAAGGTAGGCCTGTGTTATCTTCTGTGCTGCAATCCAATTATATAACACAATGTGTGGCACACAGAAAGTGTTCACTAAATGTAAGTGGAAATTATTATTTAATGACTTTAAACAGATAAAGCTTTCACCTTTGTATTAACAATGCCTAGCAGTACATCCTCCAAATACAGTAACCCTTTACTACACACTCGTCTCCTCGCTCAGTAACCGTTGTTCTAATGGGAATTCTGCTGCCAAAATAGTTTTACAGAAGGGGAAAACATCAAGAACATAGTCCTGTTTTGATAAATAAATAGAAAATGTATGCATACATAGAAAAATCTGGACCAAAAACCCAAACCCACTGCCATCAAGTTGTTTCCAACTCACAGAGACCCCCTCTGGGTTTCCAAGGCAGTAAATCTTCCTTCCGAAGAGTGGCTGGTGGGTTCGAACCACCAGCTCTCTGGTTGGCACTCAAATGCCTTAGGCACTGCACCACCAGAGCTCCTAGAAAAGTCTGGAAGGGTATTTAAAAATGATGAGTACATATTACTTTTAAAAATCTAAATAGTCAAAAAGACTGAGTATATTCTTAGATAAAATCTAAAGTTTTCAAAATGTGCTGCTGCTAGAAGCTTGTCCAAATACTCAAAGCCAAATAAATATGAGTTAAAGAAACAAACCCATGACCCCCCACCAGCCCAAATCCCTTCCCATCCACTCAGGTGTACCAGTAAGCCCACAACCTCCTCGCTTCGGTCAGCGGTGCCCATGACAAAGCTCTGTGGCTCCTTCACTGGGCAGCAGGGGCTTTCTGCACCTAGGAACTTCTCTAGTAAGTTTGGGGCAAGAGCCACCAAATGTTAAAATGCATATGCCTTCTAAGCAATCCCCCTCTGAAACATCTATTCTACATACCTTTATACACTTGGGTGAATTGACGTGTACAAGGCTGTCCTCTGTAAGTGCTATTTACAATAGGAAACCTCTATCTACAGGAGACCGATGACATCAATTCTGGTGTAGCCACCCACTGGAGCACTATGCAGCCATGAGGCAAGAGAAGGCAACATAACTAACGTACTCACGTGGAAAGAAATCTATGATGTGGATTGTGAAAAAAGCTAGTAGCAATACATTTACTATGTATTGACAATACATTTACTATGTATTATGTATGTATACTATGTATTATGTATTTATACGTACTATGTATGTATAAATGTGTGACAATACATTTACTATGGACCTACCTGTGTAAAACAATGCCCAAGCCACACACACATGTACAGTGAAATCTGTGACAGCCAGAACTCCGAGGGACTCTTAGGGAACTCCGAGGGACTCTTAGGGAACTCCGAGGGACTCTTAGGGAACTCCGAGGGACCTCAGGGGCTCTCAAGTGTCCTGCCTTTGGCAGGATGCAGTCACCACTTTTCTATTTTTTGTCCTACAGAAGGACTCTTTCCTCTATTAGTGGAAAATATCTGAGTTTCCCTTCTCTGACAGGTTTCTGCCTTACATCGGTTTTAGCTTTTGCAGCTTTTACTGTATAAGTTTGTATAGATAAAATCTATCAGAAAGTGTACACAGTAAGCCATTAATAAAGACTGCCTCTGTGGAGTGTGGACGGGAGAGGGAGGGTGACTTTTACTTTTCACTTTAACATTCCATCCTGTTTTAAAATATGGCCATGAGTATGTCATTTGTATAACTAAAAAAAGTAGCTATCACCATCAAAGATAATAGGAAAAAATGAAGTCTGACGGTGTGTTGTATTTTACTTTGCTCCACAGAATATGCGGTCGCTGTAGAATCCTTCAGCTTCTGGTGATGGTGAATGGGGTCTAAGCCTCACTGACTAAAGCGATGGAGCCACCTGAGCCCTCCACAGAGCCACGTGGGCTCAGAGGGCCCAGAGGAAATGGACACTCTGGTTGAAAGGGGAGCCTGGACAATGTGGGAGGGAGACAAGGACAAGGCACCACAGGGGGCTTCCCCACTCCACCAGCCAAATGTCACATGTGCGCACTGACTCCACATGACACGAAGCTGTTGGGCGCTCCTCCCTGACCCAGGGTGCCACCTCCACCCTGTCTACCCTGTGGGCCCTGACTCCTGTCACTTGCTGAGTCTGGCTCCTCTAACATGGCACAAGGGGCCGCAAGGAACTGGGGGCACATCTGCGCTGCTTCAAAACAGCTTCCCCTTTGCACTCAAGGCTCTGGGTGCTGCAGTACAGGAGCCAAAATTGGTACGTTTTGTTTTGCTTTACTTGGGTGTCTGTTTGATGTTGTGTGCTATTTCAGAAGGGTTGGTTTAGAATTAGAAAGCTTACATTTCAAAGGTTTTTTAAAAAAGAACTTGAAAACTAAAAAAAATAAATGAAAGCTCATATTTTAAAATAAAGGGTAGTTAGCCAATCTATCATTGACTCCTTAGTAGCAATACTTACCAAGCAACCAATCACAAGCTGGTAGCTAAGGCCAAAGGATGGAATCTCAATCAGACATGTCTCCTGGCAAAAATTCGATAGGTGTGAAACCCTAGACCATCTGCTGTACTCTTAGGTACGTCAAAATTTTTACTAATCTTCTCAATGTAAATGTGACAACCCAAAATGATCATGAAAACATACACATTTAGAACTGAGCTCAGGTCACAGAATGCAAATAAATGGAAACAGAATTCTTGGTTAAAATCCCCTAAAGTAAGATGAATCAGTATCTGTTCTCCAATGATGCTTCCAAAGTTATAACTTGTACTTAAGAGATTCCTGTGTATTGTCAATCTACTGACCAAAAATATGCTTATGTTCGCTCATGACTTTTATACCTCAAAGGCAAACAAAAACAAAACAAAACCAGCAGCCCATCCATACAGTAAGTAGATTTCAATTTAATGAAGAACTTAATTGTTGGATATAACTGACTTACCTCATAAGCTTGAGGGCTGGTGAGGCATCTCGCAATGGGTCCACAGCAGGTGGGGAGGGTGGTTGTAAGAGGAGGCCCACTGTGCGTCAGCAGAGGCTTCAGATAGCTGTGCTGGTTAAGGAAGAGTTGCACTCTTTTCCTTACAACTTTAAACCACCAACTCACTGAACAATAAATAGCCACCATCACAGCGTACCAACCACTTCTGAGGCGAACAAAGTGCCCTCACCTACGTTTTCTCACTCCGTCTTCACATCATGTTAGTGAGATAGCCAAGGGACAGTTCATTATGATCTCTAGCTCACAGATATAGAAACTGAGGCACAGGGAGGTCCATGACTTGCCTAGAGCCACATAATTCAGTAAATGGGGGACCAATACTCTAACCCTGTGCCCTTTCCACTACACCAAAAGAAGACAAAACCACTTTCAAGTTAGCACTGAAGGAAGCAAGGGCAAAAGTAAAGAAGGGTAACAGTCAGAGATGAGATGAAATATTCCAATAGCAGAAGACAGTAATAAAAATGGCTTAAACCAGCTATGGGGGCGTTAAGCTGGTCTCTTGGAGGAGATAAACTGAAATCAAGTTGATTCTTTTCCTATAAAGCTATAAGGAAGAAAGTCAATTCTAAAGACATTTTAATTGTATCTCATGAGATTATTATAGACCTTCATTCTGTATTCATTTATTCTTCTGGGGGAGAAAAAAGGTAGAATAAAAAAGAAGGAATCACAAGGAAAATGAGGGAGCAAAGGATAAAGACACACATATCAGATCACCCACTTTCTAACAATTACAATCCAAGATCGTTCTCCACTACACATGAGGAAATCAGAGAAAATTTTAAGAATCCCCATATTGATAAATTCTAAGTAAAGATTCATGGAAGGAAAACTGGGCAATCTACTTCCGTAAAGATTTACCACCTCGGAAACGCCAGAGGGGGTCACGCTGAGTTGTAATCGACTTGGTGGCAGTGAGTTTCTTTCTTTGGTTTGGTTTTAAGTAAAGATGAAGGCATCACAGTTGCTAGGTGGTTAAACAGCTTGGCTACTAACCAAAAGGCCGGCTGTTCAAACCCATCAGCCGTTCCACAAGAAAAAGATGTGGCAGTCAGCTTCCATAAAGATTTATAGCCTTGGAAATCTTAGGGGGCATCTGTATTCTGTGGTATAGGGTCACTATGAGTCAGAACTGACTTAACAGCACCTAACAACAACAAGCTCTGGTAGCATAGTGGCTAAGGCACTTGACTGCTAACCAGAAGGCTGGCAGTTCAAACCC